GGAGGAAGGAAGAGGCTATTGTAATTTTGGTGAAAGACATTCTGGAAGGTGTACTCATTTGGTTTTTTAATAAGTACACCAAAGATGTCCTCCTACTAAATAAGGTTCTGTAACCTGAGATCACTGGGTTCACCTCAGGGATTCAAGAACTTCCTGATGCAAAATGAATTTACCTTGGGAGAGGCTCTACAGATTTAATCAAATCATTAATGAGATTTATGACACCCCAAATAAAACAAATTACTAGTAAAATTAGGGGAGTGCCTTTTCCAACAGAACAGATAGAACCATGAACTTGAAAAAAATGAACAAGTTCTAATTTAAAAGGCATCTCTGTGTTTAGAGAAGGTGAAGAAGAATTTGCTTTAGCTAATTAGCACCCTCTCATTTTTTGCTTTTGTTACTTCCTGTCTAAATACAGGTATTCTTAGAGCTGAGGCATATCAGCAGTTCTAATAAGCTAATGAACCTACAAATTATTTTCTCTATTACCTAAGCTTTCTGACTCTTTATATCATAAAGAGCCCAGACTGGTTACAGAAATCATTTAGTTGGACACTTAGCTACAGGCAAATCCATACCCAAATCATCCCAGATGGGGGCTGTTTTTTTTTTCTTGTTGTTGTTGTTTGTTTTGGGAAGAATTGGGAGTGCCCCCTTGCTCCCTCAGTAATCTGTTCCTGTATGTCCTAGCAGGACGCCTTGGCATGGGAGGGTTTCCACCTCTGCGGTGAGTTGAGAGACATTCTCAGCGTTCTATAAACACGACAGAGATTTTCTCTCTTTGTCTCTGTTTCCCAGCCCAGGATGCTCTGCTCTGCAGTCAGAGTTAGGACATCATCATGTGTGTGGATAAAAACTCTAGAAATGACAGTGGTGCTGGTGGGCATTTAAGAGTAGATTAGAAAACTGACAGTCCCAGGCTAACAGAAACTATCCTCCAAAGACAGGAGCTAAGGAGGCGACCCAATTAGTCTTTACTTCTCTAATTTCCCTGATTACATATCTCCTTTTACCCCCTGTGCTATACCTAGTAAGTTCCCCCAGACATAGACCTAATCAAGAAGGCAGAATATTGATGCAATGCAATTTAAAGGAGAGCTGTGTTACGCTAAGATATGTGGCCTACAATGGGACCCAAACAAGAAGAAACCCCTGAGGCATAAAAAGTGGCTGGTCCAGATAACGTGCTACTGTGGATTTCAAAGCAAATGAGGACAGAGACAACTGAATGTCAGCTCACAGCTGGGAAACTTCATTGGCAAGAGGGCAACTTTCCCGAGGCCCGGGGCGTGCAAGCAACAGCAACCTACACCACACTCCCTACTTGAATTTGCGGAATCAGAGTAGCACTTCTTTGGCTAGAGTTCTTGGTCGTGGGTCCCTGGGTGGGTGTTAAAAATCCCTAGAAAGGAAGGTAAATCCCTGCAAATCTCCGTAAAGGAATGCTGTGGGACGTGCTGAGCCACAAGAGAAGGTCTTAATCGGGCCAGAGATTTTTCTTTTAAAAAAATTGAGATGAACTTTCCATATGTTGAGGTCCAGCTCATGCTGAGCTCTTCTTTGGACTCTATCTGTTAAGCAGTGAAGCGGAGGGTGGAGAGGGCCAACCCTGGAGCCTAACTGCCTGGTCAGTCTTGGCTCCTCAGGAGCTACTTAAGAGCTATGTGAACGCAGGCAAAGTACTGAGCCCTTTAGAGCTCAGCTTCACCACCTGCAAAATGGGCACAACGATGGTATGTAAAGTTTGAAGAATGCCTGGCACAGAGGAAGTTTTTAAACAGTGCATGGGTTAGATCAAATAAGTATGAAGTGTTGGGCAGAGTACCTGTCAGAGAGTCAATGTTCGACAGGTCTTAATTTGCAGCCATTATTACTGTTCGTGATAACGACACTAAGGAAAGAGTGGCAGCTAAGGTGATGGACAAGGTCAGAAAAGTATATGTGCCAAGGTCACAGGAAAAATGGGGAGAAGTATCGTAGCCTGCACTGGGCATGGCTTAACATGTTGGAGCTTTACGGAAAAAGAAAGAAGCAAACGATGATAAATTAGGAGGAATATTGGGAGTGTGTGGTGAAATTATCGTCGCTGTTTCTTTTTATTTGTGCTTATTGTGTGGTGCTGGGGTGATTACAAGTTTTATTTGAATGTTTTATAAGCTGTTAGATTTATTTACTGAGAACGAACAGATAAATAGGGATATTATTCAGCTGTGTCATGTCATGGGCTCCCATCAGCTCTTCCACTGACTTGCAGACAAGGTTAATTAAGGAGGCAAGGGCATTGTGGAGGAGGACGGGTAGAACTGGATCTGTTGGACGATTCATCTCATTGGGGGAAGAGTGGGGAGGGAGGTAAGGTATTGGATGAAGACTTTCGTGATGTCTTCAGAAAGACATACCAGCAGGGTACATCAGAGGAGTATGATCACCTCAACATTCTAGGATTTGATGGAAAAAGGAATAACTCCTCTTTTCTAATCCTGGGTGTTCACGATTGTACTTTTTCATATTTTGTTTCTCGAGGGTACCTTCTTACAGCCAAGGTGTCTTTAATTCTAAGCCCAAGGAGCTCTGCGAACACCGTTCTTCCACGTTTCCGTGGTGGTCTGTTCTCATTTACCACTCACAGGTGACATGTCACCTCCTCAGGGAGACCTTCTATGACTTTCCTATCTAAAGTGTCCCCCCCCACCCCAACCAGCCACCCTCACATAATCTTGCTTTACTCTCAGCATAGTAGTGTAGCCCAATGGTTCAGTGCACAGGGTGTGAGACCAGGCTCCCAGAGCTACAGGCAAATTCTACAGGCAAATCAAACCCCAGCTCTGTCCCTTCAGTGTGTGAAGTTGGGTATGCTAATTAAACCCCAGCCTTAGTTTCTTTACCTGTAAAGTGGAAACAATGAACACTTTTTTCTTCTGGGACTGTTGTGAGGGCTAATGCACGCATGCCGCACCATGCCCAGCATATTGTAATATGTCTACTACAGTAGTCCCTATTGTGTTGGACTTCATTGCTGTCCGAAATCATCTTCTTGATTTATTGTTATTGACTACCCACTGTTGAATCTAAGTACCATGAAAGCAGGGACTTTTTATTGTTTAATGCTGGGTTACAGGATCTAGAACAGGCTCCAGAGTGGGAACTCAAGAGAAATTCATTGAATGAATGATCTATTAATATTTAAGAAATGAGCTTGTCCAATTTCAGGCCACGCAGCAAAAGCAGCTGTCCTGAGCTGACCAAATGACAACACAGAAAGAATGCAAGCTCTTTGCTAGGGGTCTCTTGCCTAGACTGAAATACAAACTGTTTCTCTATTTGGACAGCCTGCTTTTTTTGTAGATTCAAAATTGTGCAGGACTTTATGATCTCTCATTGGTCATGTGAAAGCAGTAATTTTTTATTCAAAAAATTAAATTAATGATACTGAAGTATACTAAATATTGCTTTGTCAAACTATACTTCACCTCTCCCACCCTTCCTCCCTCCTGAGACATGCCCCCTACAAACCAGTAAAAATCACTAAAAATGACAAATGAACACTGACAGAACATAGGTGAAAGAAAGCCCTACGGCTCCTCAAAACTGGAAGGCCAAGACTGCTACCATTTATTGCCATTACAATGATACTAACCACTCTACCTACAGTTTGCTTCCAAAATTCCAAACTTGCTCCTGCTACACACTCCGTAACTTATAAACGTCTTGGGTTCAGTAAGGCAGGAAAAATAAAAATAATCCGAAGGATAGAGTCGGGAGTTTTTCCTCCACCATATCCCTTTGTAACGGGCCTCTGTAGGGTAAAGCTCCTGCAGGCGGAGCTGCCTGGTGCCTCTCCTTTGCTTCAAACCCTGTTAAAGGTTAAGGATGTTCCACATGTGCCCTTCAGACAGGTAGGACAGCTAAAGGTTGTTCATGGAAGGGCCTGCTTCCCTACCTCCTTCCTTTTTCTCTCTGAAGAATTCATGTCAAAGAAAGTACCCGACTCTGATTCTGGCAGCTGCTGATTTCTGATGACTTATATATGGTTTTTAAGCCCAATGCTAATGACTCTTAACCAACTGAGCACCCAGGCACCCCCAATGCTAATTAATGACTCTTAAGCATCCCTGACAATGCCACAATAACCCTAAAGAACTGAGCTATCAGGCGCTCTCAACTCGAAAACTGGAAAAGGTTATGCCGGCCACATCTCTTGTACATTTGGTTGCTGCGTGTCCTCCCACGTACAGTAAATATTGTTTGAGAGACTGGTTAGTGTGTTGTAAAATTGATAAGATTCAGGTTGCCAAAGGCATTTCATAAATTTCATAGGTCTTAATTTATGTTGCTATAGTAACCGAAATGTTGGAATTCCCTTAGATTAGGAGGCTTTTGTATCCTTACCCTTAAAATGATAATAATGTAGATTATGACTCCAGACGTGGTCTTTGCTGTTGTGGGGAAACAGGTGCTCTGTATGTTGAGTATTCTGTGGATGCTAAGGTATGACTGAATGTGCAATAATTGTAATTTCAACTAAGATTCCTGACACCCAACCTGATTTTCTTATTTGAGTATATGAGTCTTGGTGGCCAAGAGGTTAGTAAAATGGACAGTCTTTCTCTAAAGAGAAAGGGCGAATTTGAAGAGAGAAGCGGAATTCTTACAAGTAGCCATTCTAGAATGCTCATCTTAAGGACTGATATGAATTTGGTTCACCTTCCCCATCAAAGGGAATTTCTAGCAAGTGCTGAAGACCTTGGTTCATTATTAACAAGTGTTTTAAGAAAAGACACTCTTTTGAGGGATTTAGTGCCTCAGCAACGTCTGAAGTGAGAATGAGAGGTGTAATGAAGCCCGTATCTTGAGACAGGAAAATAACTAAGAACCCGATGGGCGGCTCAAGGTCACAGGCGTTAATTATATGGACCCAAAGCAGCTGGGAAACTGGATGCAAATGACCTAGGATTGACCTGAGACAGAAATATGTCCCTTCCCAGAGCCCAGCTTACCTTATATCCTGATGATTTGATGTGCACGCCGCGTTTGGTCAGAGTAGATTTCATTCGGATGAAAAAGGAACGCTCAAGGGTGTTGTCAGTGGTTAGCAGACTGGGGCTGGTTGACTCCACTGAAGAATACAAAAATATATACACACATGATTTAGATGTCTACACAGCCCCTCACAGCTACTGCTCAGGTGCAATCCTTGAGTTCACTAAAAATAAATGACTGATGGGTGCTAAGAGCGTAGTAATCAATTTACCTCATTTAGAAAATGTTTACTTTGCAGAAAATAAAAAAGAAAAATTAATGAATCCAAAGTAACTCCATTCCAGTTTCTGGCAGAAGACTTTCAGGCCTTTTAACTTCCAGCAGCTCCCCAAGTAGGGTCTAAAGTAAGTAAGGGCAGCACACCTCGAGACTTGGCACATGCACGGAACAGTCATGAGAGAGGAGGACACCGTAGATGTAAGGAATCAACCAAGACTGAGGCAGAGAGGCTGCTGATGAAGAGTACAATCACTTGCTCTTTGTTCTCCCTGCAGACCCCTTCTTGTAACATTTGCCCACTGGGCAGTTCTGAGGACCATGAAACTATATCCTGGCCGGGATCCTTGCCCTCCTGAGTTGGTCTCCTTTGTTGTGGGGAATAAGAAAGCATAGAGTCTTCTCAACTGACTCATGATAGAGGGCTGAGAATGGAATGTATAGGCAGAAAGGAATAAAAACCACCAACAATATCAACTGTCCACTGCAGCTTGCCCTCTGTCCCCATCAGAACAGGATATTAACAAATAATAGTCTCCTCTCTTAAGCGAGACAGTTACTCTTTCCCTTCATGCACTTTGAGACTAAGTGGAACACTTCTTTACTTCTGAAACTTAAAATGGGAGTTTGCAGTCTTGTTGATCTAAAAACACCTTTCGGCAAACAGGCCACACGGCCACATAACACAGCCACACCTTCTAAGGGATTTTGTCAGTTTAAGTGTTTTCCTGCAAAGAAATTAATTTTGGCATTTTTAAGCCTAATCGATACTGTCTAATTTTGCTCTTCTAGAATAGTACTCTAAAGTTTAAAAAATTTTTCTGAGTCTAAAATTAAAAATATGTCCAACAACAAACAGGATTTGTTTTGAGAAGCCTAACACTAATTTTCTCAGGGGTGGGGGTACAGAAATATGTGTCGCAAAGGGACTTGTAAGAATTAAGCATATATGAAAATGGTTATTAAAACACAAAGAAAAATAGGAAAAACAAGCTTTTGAACTTTAAGAAACGCATTCCATCTATTTCTAAGGGAAAGAAATGCCAATTTTTTTTACATGAAACTTGATGCTCAGATGAAAGAATAGAAGCTCCTATAATAACAGAAACCTTACTGTTTGTGGGCTATAGCTTTTCTTGTATTATTCCTGTCTAACTAGGACTGTATTTTCCTATGTTTGTGGCACTTCTGTTCTGGGGTGAGGGAGCCGCTGACAAGTGTCCCTTTCTTATGTTTCTCTTAAGATTTTCTTTTCTTTCTTTCTTTTTCTTTTTTTTGTTTTAGAGAGCATGGATCTGATGTCATTTTAAATGTACAGCTTTTTATCACTCGAGGGAAAAGCAGAGCCATGTTATATTTAGTACTTTCATTTCTTCTGATTAAATATGAATTACTATGAAATTTTTCTCATCATCTAACACGCCATAATACGCCAACAGCTTTTTAATACACTATATAAGCACAAACTTCTGCTCTAAGAGTTTAATTTGCCCCTCTAATCCAATCACATCAACCTTATTTCTCTTATCAGAGATTCCCATTTTGAATTAAATGAGCTCATTAGTTTTAATCAAAAGCAGAGAGATCAAAACTTAAACGTAAATGCTTTAGATCAGAACTGTCAGTCAGCCGTGCAGTTCTATTTTACTAAAACACAAGATCAGAGACCCTTAGAACCAATTTTTTTCTCATAAGGGATGCCGAGAGCTTGAAGATGCTATATCCTTTTTTTATTTATTTTTTTTCCCTCCCCTTCCCAAGGACAGATTATACATTTAAGGTTAGACTTCATTTATAGCAGTTTTTCATCCTGGTGGAAATGGAAAAGTATGCCAATCTACTGTTGTCCCTTTCACATTTATTGGCACTGGTCCTCAGAGACTTGAACTAACGGGAAGCCATCAGAATCCACACCACAACCTCGGCCTTAAAAATTCAGCTCTGTGCAGCAAGATCGTGTTTGCAAAAGCTGAGGAAAAATGAAACTTCCCGCAGAAGTGAGATGTGTTTTAGGGCCAGGGTGCTGGGGTACCCTGACCCCAGGAGGAAGGAACTGCCTCATTCCAGAAGAGTGAATAATTCAGGCATCATTAGAAACTATTGTTTTCAGGACGTAGAACTGCAGAGTACAACACTTCGTGGGCACGGTAGAGACCGCAGCATGGCTGCTTCCCGCTGGGTGACAAGCTTTGTATGAGCTGTGGGGGCCGAACGTGGCGTTCTGCGCTGAGGCCCTGCACACAGCACCCCCCCCAGCCCCCCGTGTGTTACAACGGTAATTGCCTAAACATACAGGGGCGGTGGTAATTAAACCCAGGACAACTGGCGTGAGAGGAATGCTGAGGTCAGGTTTTGCTCCATTGACGCTGAGATTTAAGATCTAAACTGGTCTTCAAGCTCTACTTCCAACCATGGGGGAATGAGGAGTTGGGCAGAAAGTGAGGGGGCAACTTAGACCAGAGTTTGATTTCTGATAAAGATTTCCCTTTTCATTCCATATATGACTTTCTAGTTCTGAGGGCAGGGCGGGAGTTACATGGCACTCTGTCCCTTTCAAAGGGACACGTAACAAACCCGTTGGCAGCACACACTGGCCATGGCCGTGCTTCCTCCAAGAGCTAGCAAATACATGCTGGTTATCCCATCTCTGACAATGGTGTCTCTCATGTGAAAGATGAGTTATCCGCAGGTGACAGGTAAGAGCTGCAGCATTCCAAGAGAAGCTTTCTGAGTGTCTCAGGTGAGAAGCACGATTTTGATGAAGGTTCTGTTGGGAGAGAGCATGGCCTTGGTGACGGGCAACATGTCTGTGGCATTGAATAGAGAGTGTGTGTGTACACATGTGTGCAGATATGGATGGGTGTATATGGGGGGGGTGAAGAGGACAGCGGGGCGAGAGAAGTGTCCTTAAGACTGGTGCCCTATAAAGATGGTGGGACCGGTCCACGTCAAAGAAGCATTTTAGAGTGCTTTCTAGAGATCAGATGCTTTCCTGTCAGCTTTTTGAGGCAGGCCATGATTGCTGCATGCTCCGATAAGAAATTTGGGATTCAGAGAAGCTCTGTCCGCTGCCAGAGACAGAGGAGAAATTTATGGGTAAAACTGGATTAAGTGGTCAAAGCCCAGATAGGGCCAGTTTTGACCCATGAATTATAAACGAGGAGCTGGAAAACAAAACACACACGAGACCCACACAACTCAAAGCTAGATAAAGAAATATACTCTCTCTTGCTGAATCTCAAGGGCCTCCCTTTTTAATAAATCTAAATTATCTCAGCTCTTGAAATGTCAGTTTTTGCATATTTTGTAAAATTTACAGAACAATTTATAGCAAAGTTGTAATAATTTTCATGTTGGCAAATGCCACCATAATGTGAGAAATCGTATCTGCGTTATTTCACATTTGTTTACGAATCCCTGACCAGCGTTGTAGTTGCTGCTTCCTTATTACTATGTAGGGGCAGGAGGTGAGGGAGGAGCTGGAGGAGGAGGAAGACGAGGTAGCTGAGAACCGTCTAGTTGTACTGGCTAATCCTCGGGCCAGGTGCCCCTGAAGACTCTCAGTATTCTTTCCAGGGTCTCTGTAAATAGATGAGGCCCCAGCATAAAGAGGGTCTTTCTTTTTCATACACTACAAATGTTTTCAGTGCAACCTCACGTCAGAACCCTCCAACTGGCACCAAATCCTGATGTAGTAGGGAAGGAAAAGGAAAAATAAGTTTGGGAAAACGACGTTGCTCCTCAATTGTGAACGAAGTATTTTTCCTTTGGAAGGGGAAGTGGATTGGGCTATGTTGCTAACATGTGAAGTTAAATATACTCTTTTCCTATTTCATTGCCTAAATGAATCTTTCCTTTTTCAGAGGGTCTGTACACACAGGAAAAACCAAAGTGCAAATAACCAAAATGACTTTCACAAGACAAGGGAAGACATGTTGGTTCATTTTGCAATTACCTCAATGAAGCCAAATTGTTTCATTGTCATATTCTGTTAGCTTTGTTAGATACTGATGTATTTCAGGACTTTAGAATGAGTATGTGACAAGCGATTTCTTTTCTTGCAAAAGTTTTCCTGTGCTTCCTCAGGCACCTGGAAGTTATCTATAGTCATATGGCTTTCCGTAGTCAAGGAAATGTGAGCCAAAGTCACGTGTCGCTTCCAGGTGGAATCTTCAAAAAGAGCCAGTCTCTTACTAGAAAGAGGTCCTTTCTCTTTCCTTCTGCCATGGTGACTACCGACATTTCAGATGGCACCTGCTCTATCAGCCTGGGTCTTGGAATGAAGACAGTGTGGGACAGAAGCCACAGCTGACCCTCACAGAAATAAATTTTTGTTATAATTTCAGAATGTTTTTTTCCTGCAGCATAACTTAGCCCATACTGATGGGGTACAAATACTAGGTCTTTATTATATAAAGAGAGTCTGTGTTTTCCAAGTCTTCCAGATAGTCAGTGGCAGAGCACACGGACGCGACCTATGTTTGTCTGACTCCAGAGGTCATGATGTTGCCAAATACTGTTCTTACAGTTCTTTATATCCTCATTTTATCTCTTATGCTGGGTATTCCAGAGCATCAAGGCGGACACAGGTCTAATTTGCATCCCCTTTACCACCGACCATGGTTCCTTGTTTCCCAGAGCAAAAATTACACATACATGCACATAAATACATATATGGTTTATATATGTCTAATATATTCAAGAGCTGATATGCATTAAATGTCGACTTTAATGTCAAAAGATCTTCCCAACCTACTTTCCAAACAGTAGGACAAACATGGCAAGTAAATCTTGTCTCACAGACGGTATCCCAGCAGATTTTATGTTTACCCAGGATGACAGGTGGGGTCATTTAAAAAT